TCAGACAGCAACCAAGAGGAGACCTGATTAAAGGTGACGGTGGCAATATTGGTGCGAATATTTTGCTTGAGGGAGGCATAGTCAGCCGGTAGACCTCGTAGAACACAAAGAATAATATCTTGTTCGGAGATTTCTTCATGAGCCAGTTTGAGAGACGACACAATGGTGAGAACAGTGTCCAAATATGTTTGCATGGAATCGGTCCCCTTAGTAACACCATGTAAACGCTCCTTCAACTGAAAAATATGAGTGCGTGAAAGAGAATTGTACAGTTGCTCTAGATGATTCCAGATTGCAGCCGCGGTGGGAAGAGCGTGAATGTGGGTTTGAACCGTGGGTGAAACAATAGTGAGGAGACAGGCCCGAATCTGATCGTCAACAATATGCCATGATTCATAGGCGGAATTAGGCTTCATAACCGGGGATTCATCCTTCCCCGGTGCCGCAGCCTTCTCATCGAGAATAAGAGGCGGAGGAGATGGTTCAGATCCATCCACATAACCGAGAAGACGATGAGCGAGGAGATTTGCACGGATGGTGGCCGACCAAGAGGGATAATTGGTGTCATCAAGCTTGACCGGAGTTAGGGATTGAAGATTCCGGACAAACAACTTGAGTCCCGTAGGGAGACGATCCATCGGATCAGAGGATACATGAGCCATGGCTGAGCACGGCTTGAACAAAGAAGAAGAAATCGGCAGTGCCGAAAAAATTTCGGTGATTAACGCAGCAAAGGGGAGAGACACGGATCTTTGTGCTCTGATACCATGTTGATTTATGAATTCACTCTTAAAGAATACTTGTGTACAAGGATGTTTATATAGGTGAGGATCCCTACATGAACTAGGATTCATCAAATATGTAAACTAACATAAATACAATTCTGCTATAACTAGACTTCTTTCCATATATGTCTAACAGTAATAAAAGTAGTTTTTTAATAGAAAAAAACTACATTTGACTATTTGAGATTAAGAAAAGAAAAATTTACTTAAATAGCACTAAAACATAATGACTTTCTCTAAATAGCATCACATGTGTTTTTCTTCCCAATGTAGCACTTTTAGTCATTATGCATTAGTTATTATTCAAATAAATATCTGCCATCACGGGACATTATTAGTGCTATTTAGAGAATAAAACAATTTATGTGCTATTTAGAAAAATGACTTAAGTTTTAGTGGTATTTAGTGCAAATATTTCATAAGAAAAAATGAAAGAAGAAAGACTTTTAGATAAAGTACTAAAGAGCCTAGGCTCTTAACTCATATTCAAAATCACAAACTTGAGGTTTTACTCTCATCGGTCCCCCAATTTATTATAGTTAAACAAATACTCCCTCCGTCCCAAAAAGTCTGACACATTTCGAAAAAACTGCGTCCCGTAAAGTCCGTTACATTTCTATTAAAAAACCACTTTTATCCCTTACTTTTTCATACCCTACCTATCACATCATACCTTTTTCTTAATAATCTACGCATCACATCCTACTTTTACCCATCACATCAAGGGTATTTTTGGAAAGTCAACACAAAAATATCACTCTTTAATTTCCCAAAAAGTCAATATGTACCAATCTTTTTGGGACGGAGGGAGTAAATTAATCTGAAAATGACCCTTAAGTTACCAATTGGTTATTAGTTTTCTAATTGAGTAACAATATCACATTTTTCACCATCTAGAAGGAGAGAGTGACAAAGACATAATGTTGGAAAGATATGGTAAATCGAAGGACGCATTCGTTTGGTCAGTTGTTAATATCTTATCATCACAATCAAATAATCCTTGTGAGACTTCCCCGCCGATATGTATGAATTCCCTCGAAGCTGCTTACCAAGTTGCACATTCTGGGTATGAATTTGGCACCAGTTGGGGTTATCAAGTAAGTACTCATCCCCATTTTTGAATACACTACTTTCTCCGTACCACAAAACCTTTCTCGTTTTAACTTTTAAATGATCTAAAGTGAGTATATTTGGGTATTGACTTTTCAAAAATACTCTTGAATGTGATGTGTAGACTAATAGTGAAAAAATATGATGTGATAGTATGTTAAGAATTAGTAGGAGTAAAAGTGACTTTTTAATAAAAATAAGAAAAGTTTTTTGATAGAAATTATCAAGAAACCAACCCAACCACAAGCTCAAGCTTGTGGTTGTGGCCCAAGAATAATTATTTATATTCTAACACGCCCCCTCACGTGCAGGCGTAGTCTTTTTCGAGCCTTGCACGTGAAACCTTAATTTTTTTAAACTGGGTGGCACAAGTTTCGAACCCGTGACCTCTTAGTCAACGAGGCTTTGATACCATATCAAGGAACCAACCCAACCACAAGCTCAAGCTTGTGGTTGTGGCCCAGGAATAGTTATTTATATTCTAACAGAAATAAGAAAAGTTTCGTGAGACAAAGGAAGTAATATTTTCAGTATCAATTTCTTAGCTTGTTATGATTAATCATGGTTAGGTTGGGTGGATATATGGATCTACAACAGAAGACATGCTCACCGGATTAACTATCCATAGAAAGGGGTGGAGATCGGCCTTATGTGACCACAAACCTTTTAGTTTTCTTGGCTGTGCACCAACGGGTGGCCCGGCGGCGTTGACCCAACAAAAGCGATGGGCCACTGGGCTCATGGAAATACTCATCAGCAACAACAACCCAATCGTCGGTACCTCTCTTGGCAGGCTCAAGTTCAGGCAATGCCTTTGTTATCTATGGTTCATGGCGTGGCCCATGCGGCCCATATTCGAATTGTCCTACTCTCTCCTCCCCGCTTACTGCATCTTCACCAATTCTCACTTCCAACCAAAGGTAAATGAAGGTGTCGTCGCCATTGCAATACCTTCTTCCATCTTCATCATCTACAACTTGTACACTTTGTTTGAGTACGTTAACGCCGGAGAGTCGATTCGTGCTTGGTGGAACAACCAAAGGATGCAAAAGGTTACCTCTTCCGCGTCGTGGTTCCTGGGATTCTTGAGTGGGGTTTTCAAGGTTGTTGGGTTCTCCGACACGGTGTTTGAAGTGACCAAGAAAGAGCATTATAGTGATGGTGCTGCAAATACGGAGCAGCCTGATGACGGAACGTTCACTTTCGACGATTCACCCTTGTTTATTCTTGGTACGACCATTCTGTTGGTGAACATCGCAGCTTTGTTCATTGGGTTTGTGGATTATGTTAGAAAAGAGAAGGTGGGTTGGAGTTTGGGGGAGGTAATTTGCAGTGTGTGGGTGATATTGATGTATTGGGCATTTCTGAAGGGCTTGTTTCGAAGAGGGAAATATGGGATTCCATGGTCCATTATTCTCAAGTCCGGAGGGTTGGCATTCCTATTTCTCCATGCTAGCAAATTTGTTCACTGAGTTATGTGGCTATATATTTTTATTGAATAATTACTTTATGAGAATAATTAGTGCAGATTCATTCCTATGATTGTATAATTGTAATGCATGTCTTGCCCAAGTGGCCAAGTGTGTTAGAGTATTGAATTGATTATGGTGGGACTTTTGTGGTTTTCGATTGTCAATGAATGTAAACTTCTACTTTTAAATTGATGGCATCCATGGTATGTTTTTAAAATTCATACTAAGAGCATGTTTTTTAGAGTTTAAATTTTTTAATTTCTAGTTTCTTTCAGTTCTTTCAGTTTCTTTCCGTTCTTCCAATTTCTTCTAATTTCTTCCAACTATTCTCATTTTCTCCAAACTTTTTTTACTCCCCAACCAATTACTCTAAAAATGATATATTTCTAATGTGACTATTATTATTATTACAACTGTTATGTTCATAACTATACTTTATAAATTATTTTTTTCATCTCACTATTTTTATGATTCACACTCATTATTTTTTCTTCCACTTTTTAATATGAATAAGGCATTTTTTTGTATATAAATCTACATGATAAAACAGGAAAATATCAATATTTTATATTCCCTCCGTCCCAAAAAGATTGGTACATATTGACTTTTTGAGAAATTAAGGGAGTGATATTTTGGTGTTGACTTTCCAAAAATACCCTTGATGTGATGGGTAAAAGTAGGATGTGATGGGTAGATTTTTAGGAAAAATGTATGATGTGATAGGTATGGTATGAAAAAGTAAGGGGTAAAAGTGGGGTTTTAATATAAATGTAACGGACTTTACAGGACGCAGTTTTTTCGAAACGTGTCGGACTTTTTGGGACAGAGGGAGTACAATATTAAAAAATTATGGATAAAATAGTTACATAGAATGTTTTATTAATCTAACTCTATATAAGACCACTTACCTTCCCTTGTATTACTCAAATTTTTCTTATTTTTCTAATTTTAATAAAAAAATGAAAGTTAAAATATTTTAGAAAAAAAGAATAAAATATGAGTAAAACGTAAAAAATGTGAAATTTTTTTTATGTTTTTATTCCAAAAATAGGAGTTACAAATGAAAATAAAATATCAATCATGATTCATGAAATAAGGAATAAGTTTGATTACATGATGTGACATGTCTGATATTTAAAAAAAATCTTGTAATATACTCCCTCCGTCCCTAAATATATCTCACATTTCTATTACCGAGGTAAAATATCAAGTTTTCAATTCATTTTATTTACATATTGGTATAGAAATAAAAAATAAAATTTACATATCAAAAAACTACATCAAAAGTTCTTCGAAATAAGAGGTGTCAAAAATATTTTATTTTATCAAATAACCAATTAAACGTAGAAATAAACAAAAGTTTCCGCGACTGCTAGAAAAGCAAATGTGAGATATATTTAGGGACAGAGGGAGTATAAAGTATAATTACAAATATATTATTTATAATAAATACTGCATAAATAAATTGAGGTGTACCGTAACCACAATAACTTTTAAAAATTTAACATTTTGATATTTATGCTAACTTTATATTATAAGTATTTTTTGCAAAAGTAGTTTTTTTATGTATGCAAAATAACAACACTTTTTTTAATCTTAAAAGCATTCATTAATATAACGTGATGATGATGATAATAATTATAATAATAATAATAATAGTAATAATAATAATATACTAATAATAACAATAATAATAATCTAGTAAAAAGTCATTTTTACCCCAATAAACTTTTAATCTACATATCACATCATATTTATTTATTATTAGTTTATCTATCAAATTTTATTTTTATCCATCCAATTACATTTTTAGAATCTCAATACTAAATTACAATGCACTCCTTTTAAACCTCTGTCATATTTTTAGAAGAAGCATGCTACATGTACCTCAAAATTTGTACTTCATCTGTACACCAAAAGTATATACTAACATTTTGATGATTCACGCTGACGCAAAGTGTTAGTACGTTAACAAAAATTTACACTGACACAAAGTATTGGTGCGTTAACAAAAGTTATCATTACACCAACACAAATGTTGGTGTATCGCTGCGGTGTACAAAATGAGATACAAATAACTTTATGGTATGTTTGGGAACATGGATTTGGATTTCAAATCCGGATTTGGCTTAAATTCCATGTTTGGGAAACTTAAGCATTTTGAATTTGGATTTGAATCAAATTCTTTACATTCAAAACAAAGCTTAATTTGAAATCCATGCACCTCCCCTTGTCATTTAAAATTCAGAATTTCAAATTTTGGAATTGAAATGCATCAATTGAAATGAAATGCTAGTTGCCAAACACTACCTTATCCTTATTAGAAAAGGCGAGGGATTATGTAACAACTTCTGACAGCCAAAACCTCAAAATCATGGCTGCAGTATATAAAGCTTCCTTATCCCTCTCTCTGTTCTTAAGACACAAAATCATGGCCCCAGCCAAACCTCCTTCTTCTCCATTATCATTTCCGCCTCTCTACGAAATAAGGCATAGAAACAATAGAATATCAAGAGCTGTAGAAGTCATCATTCTTTGCCTCCTCCTATCGCTCATTACCTACAGACTCATTTCCCTCAAAACTCATGCCGGCGGCGGCGGCGGCGGCTTCTTATTATTCCCTTGGCTTCTGGCTCTCATCTGCGAGTCTTGGTTCACTTTCATTTGGACTCTTACCGTTAACCGTAAGTGGAACCAAATTGACACCCACACCTACCCTGAACGCCTCTTGCATCGGTAAAATTAATTTTTATTACCATCAATATATATAATGTCTATTATTTCGTTATCTACGGAGTATGTACAAGTATGTTTTTCTATTAATATAAGTTGGAGCAGGGTGAAAGATGGGACGGTTGAGCTTCCGGCGGTGGACATGTTCGTGACCACGGCGGATTCAGATTTGGAACCGCCGATTCTAACGGTAAACACGGTGCTGTCTCTGTTAGCGGTGGACTATCCGGCGAGCAAGTTGGCCTGTTATGTGTCCGACGACGGCGCGTCCCCTCTCACCTTTTACTCTCTACTCCAAGCAGCCAAATTTGCCAGGCTGTGGGTCCCCTTCTGCAAGAAGTTTAACGTCGCCGTTAGAGCTCCGTTTCAATACTTCAATAATGGCCCAGAATGCAGCTCCTTAGAATTCCAACATGAGTGGAAGAATATGAAGGTACCCAACCTATATCTTATACGGAGTATATCCTATCCTATATATCCTATATATATATGTAAAGTAAGGTTTATTTCTTGGAGTGTTGACATGTGGCATGCCACATGTGCATCCACATGTGCATTCATTAGTGACATGGATGAATTTCATTAGTCCATTTAATTATTTAAAAAGATCTTTCAACACATTTTATTGCATTACTTTCAATAAATATTATATTTTAATATTAAAAAACATTACTTTTATTATACTTTGTATAAAAATGTCATTTTTTAACAATTTTATAAACATATATATCATCATTGCAAAATATTTTGTATAAAATTTTTGTTTTAAATAAACATACTAATATATATTCCACCAGTTTAAAACATATTTTGTTTACACAATTAAATTATATCTTTAAAATATTTTGTAACTTTATCAATATTTTGAAAAATAATGTTTTAATTTATATCATTTTTAAAAACAATAAATCATTTCTCTTTTACTTCTTTGAAAGAAAATACTTATAGAATCTTTAGTGCATATACATCTATATTTAAATTATATTATTTGAAAAAAAAGATATATATTAGAGTTAAAAAATATCCATCTAACACATATTGTGTCACTATTAGAAAACTAAAATAAATAAAATTATAATTATAGAATGTATACGAGCCCGTGCGAAGCACGGGGTTAACACTAGTATGTGTATATAATGAATGATATTTCTTAATAGATTCTTGAGCATTTCATTGAGGCCATAAAAATGTTACCGGATAACACTAGAAGATCGCATGTTGTGCATGTATAACTAACAACATTAATATCTAAATGGAATGCAAGCGAGCTGGCAAACCGTCGATCCAGTCGGATTCGAGTTCATTTACCTCAGATTTAAGTTATTTCGGGTTCGGGTTAATTCTAGTTCGAGTTATA